ATGCAACAAATAAAAGAGAGACAGAGAACTAGCACCTAGTAAAAAATAATAAGGTTAGATGATTTACGATATGAAACTTTTACCAATAGGGAGCAAAATAAGAAAAGTTGAAGAATATGGAAACCAAATCATATCTAACATCATTTTTGTTGCCACCATTAAAGCCCTAACAAGCCTTTCATTAAAAAGAAAAACAGGACACAAATCTTGAGTTTTGAATGATCCTAAATGGTCTTAAGGACCCCGCGTCCTCCGGAAGCAGAGGCAACTCTGCTGCTGGTCGCCAGGGATCATCCCTCCTCCTTTGGAGGTATCGATACTCTCCAACATCGGTACAACCTCGTCCATCTCTGGTCTCTTGTCTGGATTTGCATCCCAACATCGCTTCATCACAGCTGCAAGCGCGCTCGGGCAACACCTCGGTATATCGGGTCTCAGATTCTGCATTCATCATAATAGCATACTGCATATAGATATGTTTCTCTAGTTGATGGTGTCAACTGTTATATAACATAACAGTTCCCATTGATAATCCACCGAATGGCAGAATGATGAAGTGATTCAGCAAGATTTATAGCAAAATATAACTGTGACTGTGAAGATTTTCGATTAAATTAGCAGATTTTTTCCTCCTTATTCCATTCCACCATTTTTTCAAATAACATTTATATTTTCCTATACTCAGTAGTATTACCAATTCTAACTATACCTGGCGAACGACGGCTGAAGTGACCTCAGAGAAAGTAAGGTCAGGGTATGGCATGTCACAGCAATATATCTCCCATAAGCAGATCCCGAAACTGTATACATCGCATTTTCGATTATACGGGTTTCCATTGAGAACCTGAAGCCAGAGTTGATTTGTATAAAAATTTGGTTTGTTTCCAAACTTGATGATGCATTAATTATCTGGACAGTACCTCAGGAGCCATGTAGCCAAGTGTGCCAGTCTCTCCTGTCATGTCATTAGGGTTAGATGCTTCAACTCTCGCAACTCCAAAATCAGCGATTTTGACAGTCCGGGTTTTGTCTAACAACATGTTCTCTGTCTTCACATCTCGATGAACAATTTTCTGTGAGTGAAGGTAACTCAACCTGAAAGCAACATAACAAGAGATCTTCTTAAGTTACCAATACACTTGTTCTTCTTCTAAGAAGAAGAAAATGAAGAGAAAAGATAGTATAATAGTACCCTCTAGCGAGGTCAAGAGCGAGCTGAACGACAACTTTAAATGCTAATTTTCTTCTTCTGTTCTTGATCAGATAGGATTTTAAAGCACCACCTGGAAGATACTCGACAACAACACAACATATGTTGTTTGGCATTGCTAATGGACCACTCTCTGTTTGAAGCTGTAAGCCTGATGCACCCATTGTAGCTCCTATGAACTGCAGTTTCATCAATGACCCAAATATATATATACATATTTATTTCGTCGATATCTAACAATTGAAAAAAGGGTAATTGCACAAGTATATATGATGAACCTTGGTAACATTAGGATGATCCAGTTTATGCCAAACAGCAACCTCCTGAGCAAAATCTGCTCTCAGGGACACGATCTCAGCTTCTGACCTGTGACCTTCTTCACCCCAATCAAGCAGCTTCACTGCTCAATAACCACAATGATTAGCCCATTCGTTCAATTACAGTAAAAAGCTCTTTTTTTTTTCTACTGCATTCAAGGGGATCTGTAAGCTACTTACTATTCTCTCATCTTTTTTCCAGAAAAAAAAAGGTAAAAATTAAATTTTGAAAAAGAGATTTGAGACAACAACAGCTGGAATCACATGAAAGCAGAATCATAATAATCCAAGTAGGGCTCTCAACTTATGATGGCAAAACCCGTGTCGGCTTTCACGGAGATCACAAGAATTGCTTCTACCCACAAAAGAAAAAAGAAAAAGAAGCAAATTCAACTCCCAACAATCAAGCAACTTAATCTAAATCCAAAGGTAAGTGAATCTGGCAAGTTTGAGTGTGGAAATCCAACACAGTACTGTCTGTTCAAGTAAAAAAAAAGCTGTAAAAAGAAGAACCCAGAAATGAAGTTCGGATCCGACAATTTATATTTAAATCTAAACAAGAAATGAAACTGAACTAGTAGTGTAGGAATTTGGGAATCTATTGTAATAAAGAATGAAAAAGGGAAAACTGACCGGCGACATCTTGGCCGTCGTAGATACCGCGATGGACGGTGCCGAAAGTGCCACGAGCAAGAACGGTCTTGATGATAAGCTTAGAAGGGTCGATCTCCCACTCCAGTCTCTGCTTCCTCTGCCCACCGTTGAGAGCGACGGGGGAGGCGGAGGCGAAAGCGGACGCTCCAG